GGTGGAGCATCAATCATTCGCATTTTGGCACACTTGAAGTCATATCATCTCGTGATTCACTTAGAGCCGCAGAAACGGTTCCTCCCAACCTTAGATGAATAGAAAATTATGCGGACGCGAAAGTATCCCGTGAGCCTGAGTCAGCTTCATATTTGCGACAGCTCGGCTTGTACGCATGATGGATGCCGCTCGCCGTCAAGCACACGCGTACTAACCGACGATGGGCGATGTGGAAGCGATTAAATTTCCTTCTCTCCTCATTTCGAACTGCCGGTCATCGACAGCTCGTGGCGTAATCTTGAGGTATTGATATAATTTACCTAATCATCTGTCACGGCAGACACGCAAAACCCATCTGGTCGTTCCGATGTCTTCCATTTTTTTTTGTCTCTCATTCCTTTCATGTACAGGCGTTTTTAAAATAGTAAACTGCCTCATGCCTAGTTATTGCGCGCGTTTATTTCTTAAAGATTGCAACTTTTCAGGAGCACAATGTTTCTATTATGAAGAAAAATACATGATTAAAAAAACTAAATATGCCTTATAGGAAATAATATTATGATATAGGTTGCCCAAGGAACAATATAAATACATTATTTCATTCGTTGAAAATTACACGTAATTGCTACCAAAACAATACTCAATTTGCCACATACTGTATAATTAACAACAATTTTGCATATGAATTGCGATGCCGCTCATTTTTGCTTCAAATGTAATCCGCTCGGCGGAGTTTCGCATTCTCTTACCGCCAAAATTGTTCCTCGAAGGTTAATAGATTTTGGACCGCGTTGCACAAAATGATGCGGTGGTCGAGAGACAAACGGACGAGAGACACTCCAGGAGTTTTAATTGCTCGAGTGAGAAGCTATGGCGTTCCATGATATGAGGCCCATGATATGATCGCTAATGGGAAGAGGAGAAGCCCGGACACACGATGCCTTCGACGAGGAGCCACGGATGCTGCTAAACACAAGCGGACGTTAGTGAATAGGCAATTAGGTAAGCACAGTGTGGCACTTTCAAGTTCGTTCACTGAAGCCGCATTCTGCGTGGCACGTCCGAACACATGAACACATGACAGCCAAGGCGGAGGGGAGAAATGAACATGCTAAGGGAATGACGATGGGAAAATGCAAATTTGGCACTTCTCAGCGAAGCGGGTGACACGTGACTGGATTTCTTTCTCACCTACCGAGCTGTCAGTTCCATCCACACTCCCGCTTTCTTCCTCGTATTTAATTATTACATTTTCTTTCCTTTGCTCACAGTAATAGCAAGGAAACACGGAGAAATCCGTGTGTATAGGGTGGGCAAAAAAAAAGTCTCTCCGAATTTTACAGTTTATATTTCAGGGCTGGTAAGGGTAGAGGAATATGGAATGAATCATTGGTAAGAGCATTTAATTGACTTTAAAATGAAGCAACTTTTAATTCAATTAAAATTTTCTTTAATTTCGTACAGTAAATGTTTCAAGCATTCGAAAAAATGAGCGCTCAAGGACGATGCCTTTCCACGTGCACATTCGAAGGATGACGTATTCAGCTGGGCACATCTTTCCTCTCTCTACTCGAATAATGTATCCAGTAGAACTCAACAGATGTCTCCTTGCTGGCCTTGATTCATGAGAGCCTGCCTTTCCCCCATCCCCATTCACGTTATTTATATTGCCCGAGCGGAATCACGTCTCCCTCATCTGCTCCTCTGTGCCTGCCCTGCCTCTGTGTCTTGTGTAGAGAAGAAACAGGTTACTCTCGTCTCTCTTTTGCTCACGCATGCCTCGGTCTACCAGCTAGCTAAGCAAAGGGGTTCATTCCAGCAAGTAGGCCTAAGGATTAGCTTCCTTCTCTTTCTTCAATCCCTTCCCGTTGGAAAATTCCACCCCCTCGTATTCCTCTCAGAGAATCGGGGAGAAAGAACATGGACGTTCATCTCACCTTCTGTACACAAATTCACTCTTTAAGCAATATTTCTCCCTGGTTGGGAAAAAAAGAGGATGGCCTTCAGAGCATGAGTCACGGTCCCCTCCTTCTCCTCCAACTTTCGCTCTCTTTCCCCATCCTCAGAAACCATTCCATGAGAGTTAACAGATTAAATAGCCGGGCTATCTTACAGATATGATCTCATTTGGCGAGGTGTCAGGCTAGTGGGACTTCCGTTGTTTTCGGTTGCAACGATTTCCTCAAGGAATGTGAAATTAACGGTCTCTTTTCGCGCCGGCGCCGTTCTCGTCCACCACGGATGCCGGATATCGCGCTGGAGTTCCGTCGGATAAATGGCCGCTTCTGCTTCCACTCTACCTCGTGCCGGTGCCTGTGTCTTCTGTTGTTGAATCAAGCGAGCGTGTGTGGGCTAAGCTATTCACCTTAGACCTGTCAACGTTCAATAAAAATCGACGTTGGTAGGCCACCGTGCTGCTTCTGAAAGTTCTGTTGCTAAGGGTTATAATAGATTTAAATTGTGGTTGGCGACGTCCGGTCAATGTCATGCAGGTTAATAATATTATTCTGTGCAAATAGCACTGTGCATGAACATTCGTGCAATTGATGGCGTCTGACATGAATTCGGTGGAAGTTCTGTTCGTAGACATACTTTTCTATTTCATTCTGGGGACTCGAGATAGCGTAGCATATGCCTAACGTTGCATCATGCAGGGAAATGCCTAGATGATCACGAGGTGAACTCACCATCGAGGAATTCTTATGTTGTTACCATGGTAAGCCTCGGCTTGACATGAAGCCGGTATTAGGGTTAGGCCAAGGTCTATAAAATCCCGACGTCTCTTCTGATTACTCGCAATTTTATTATTACTGCAGTGATATTCTGTGATTCTTGCAGAAAATGGAAACTAGCATGATGCCTAAGGAATGGAGGGATAAGGAAAGGAGAAAGCCTTGAAAAGTAGTTCTCACGTTATTGCCTTCACAAATTCCGGAAAACAATGGTGAAATGTGGGATCCCTCATGAAATCGAGCAACGGTGTCGTTGCTTCCTTTTTGTGCAGTGGAACGCCACTTTCGAGCGGAACTCATTTTCTGTCTCTTTTTTGGTTTCTGCTAATCAAGAGACCGAGACTCTGAAATTTGCTGTTTTGCGAAACATAAGCTGCTTTCTGTGAATGAGCGTTATTCCCATTTATGAAGTTTCCTGGGAAAGGAATATCGAATATAGAAAATCATCAGTTAGTGAGGGAGTGAGTAACTGACGTTTATTACGTATGCCCCAGATGTGATAATAGCCATAAATTTGATGCATAATTTGTTCTTGGGGAGTTGATTTGAGAAGGAAAGGTTTTTCTTGGGAACATTCCACGGAAGGACCTAATGGCTGTGGAGTTTTGCTTCAAGGTTTTTTCCCCTTGTTGGTCATTGCAGTTGTGAAACAAAAGGTGAATATTACCCCTTGGAATATTACACGTGAAGGGAAAATTTACAAGGGGGAATTTTCAACACTCTCCTAGCCACGAGCAGAAAAGCTTCAAATTGTTTACATTTTCCTGTAGGGGATCTTGCATGAAGAAAAATTTCTTGTGCTGATGCCTGATTGGTGAAAAAGTTCCAATTTTTGACGCACATTTGACGTACATTACATGATAGGGCTTTCTTAGTGGTTTAAAACGCAACAGGCAACACATTGTATAGGGTAAACCATTGCTTATCATGCAGGAAGCAAAGTGACTCAACAAGGAAACCTCCTGGAATCCGCGAATATTGACATCACAAATTTTATATACAGCGTGACTGACCAGAGAATTCAATTTTTTGAATAAGGGAATATTCAAGAATACCTCAGGGAATACCTCGTACTAGTATATGCACTTTGTTCTAGAGGAGCTGACTTCATGAGGAATAGTACTTGAGTTCTTCCGAGAGGAGCACTTCTTTCTACAGCAGAATTGTTACCTGACATTTTCCTTCTCATATCGGTCGTTATAGTTGTGTTACAAAAGATACTAAATGAAGAAACAATTACAAGAGGGAACTTTTGAGGGGAAGCTAAAAGTCCTTCCACCTGGTACCTAAAAAAGAAAACAATTCAAATTGTGTTATGTATTTTTGTTCTTATTTCCTACATTTCCACTTATTTGATTTTGATAATCTTGTATTACAGAAGAACATTTTGTTTAGAAGCCCAATGGGTGCAATTCCCCCCCCCCCCACACACACATATCATTATAGTATATAAGTTGTTATAGCTTCTTTCGCGAGTGTAGGTGTATTAGGCAATGCATTGCAATTTTTAGCCAATTTTCACACACACCGAAAGCCACGTAATGTGAGATTATAAACTTTCTGACAACTAAAAAATAAATGGCATCGCCGATTTGATACACAGAGCCAAAGTCCTGAAAATACAATGCTGAAATGAGGGGATATTCCACGCAGAATATCTTTGCAAGACTCTCGACTCGGAATGTCTCCTCATTTCATTATCAGAGAATCATATTATCCTGATGTGAGCTTCTTTTCAGGTGCAGGAGAGCAAGACGGTTTCAGCGGCCACATTAAGACGCCATGACGACTCATGGTCCAGCAATATCTGCCATCATGGCGGAGCATAAAAATACATTTCAACAATATATTGATCTTGAGGAAATTCTCTTATGCTTGAAGAGAAAAAACGTCATCCAGGACGATGAATACCATGATTTGATGGAAGAAACCAGAGAGAAGAAAAAGAAACAGACGTTGTTCCTTCTCAAAAAGATCCCCGCTGCAGGGGATAATGCTTTTTTGTTATTCCTGGAGTGCCTTAAGAAGAGGCACATGAACTTGGCAGAGGCATTACTGAAGTCTCTGGATCAGGAAGATGAAGCTTACGCAAAAGAAGTTCGCATTAGTAAGTGTTTTTATCTTTAATCGGTTTCTTCATCTCTCATGTTATTTGAGAGAGCCTGAAATCTTGGAAAACACGCATATTGCACTATCATAGATCTTTAACGAAGGATTTGGGGTATAAATAGAAATTACTTTCGTCATATTGAAAGTGACCAGGAAAACCTGAATCTGTGTGGCATACTTGATGCTGAAAGCTGAGAACCTCCCTTTGAGGGAGAGGATAATTCGATTCATCAAAGTAAATCTTGTTGAGTTCGCTCTCTCATTAATGCATCTCTGCTGTGATCCTCTCTGTGATGCCCCGAAGATTAGCTGACCCTTTTTCCGCTGTCACCTCTCTTAAGGGGATTAGCACACTCACTTCGGACCATCGTAACGACTTCAATGTATGGCAAAAAAACCATGACTTTTACCCTTAAATATTGAAGCCACCAATGAACTTCGCCAAACGTTTACTATGCATATATGCGCCTCTTTCCAACTGATTCCCAAAATTTCATGAAATGTCATCATCAATCTATTTGGCCGATCCGATGCCATCAGCAATTATTGAAAACAAAGTTAGAAATTGAGAATGGGCAAGAGCTCATCCTGGTGCTGAAGTAGAGGAAACAGTCAAACGCTGTCCCTCCAGGTCAGCAAGACCACATCGAACTCTTCCTCCACTTAAATGCGTTACTTGAACTGGTCGTCTCTTGCAGAAGGTTTTCATGAGCTTATTCCAAATGGATAGTAGGTGAATCAATGATAAGTATTAATCGAGAGAGATTTTGCAAAGTTATTAAAAAGATATACTTGCTTTCCTAAAGTACTGCCCGCAAGTGTCAAATTTGTTACATATCATGTATAACTTCGGTTTAATGTGATGGAACCTTCTTAACATTCGAATAAACAAATGCAATTTTCGCTCACAACACATTTTTGAAATATGTATCCTCCACTACCTCATCATCAGAAGCTCTTGTTCATTCTCAATGTCTTTTTTTCAATAATTGCTGATGATAATGCTTCGACATGACAAATTAAGATGAAAATTTGAGACTCTAGCGGAAACATGTTCATATATGCGCAGTGAAATTTCGAGAAGATTGCTTCTTTGGAATTACGGTTAAAAGTAATTGATCTTTTTTGCCATGCCTTGTATATCTCAATTTCAATTGTGCGATGTGATGTATATCTCAATTTCAAATGTGTGTGGGCCGAAATTCGTAGACGAAGTTGAGCCTTTGTAGGCATGACCCTTGACCCTATATTGAGCCAACATAAAATGCAACATTGGCTCTTCTCTGACTTCCGTGAATATTTATTCTCATGCGCACTTTCATTTCCACTCAACCGTACATTTTAAATTTTTGTTGTAGTTTTCCCTTATTCACGTTTCTTGGCTAAGGTTACATCGCTGATAATTTTTGTTCGAGTTCTTCAATCTCAAATAGCACTAGGAACATGAAAATGTTCATTTTCACCTCTCCTCTTTGACATTTAGCGAATATAATTTGAGGTGGAATTGATTTCAAGAAATGCAAGAAATGAAGTAAAGGCGGGCAAGCTAGAAACATATAACTGAAACTACAATTGGAGTCTCTCTGGAGAGACAGACGTATTAGAATTCTAAGGGATGAAGATCATGTTCTTTTGAGGCCAAATCTTTTGGTTTTTTATACATTGCATTTTCTCTGTCAATGCTTGCATCTTCAGTAATAAAATTTTCAAAAGTGATACAGGACTTATCAGGCACAACTAATATTAATTCATCCAAAGCAATTGGTAGCCGGGGTTCAATAAGAGGAACATGACTGCAATTGATATTTACCTGAAATCCAATTCGCATTGTGTTTACATCGAGATGGCAAAATACATTTTTCAACCTGAGCGATATGACATGCCTCCTTTCCTGTCTTCGCACAGAATGGCAGGGAGATTCGTCGGCGGCATCTCAAGGAACAACAGGCCACCCCGCAGGTTCTTCGGTAAGCTGATCTCTCGTTTGCTCTTAAATGTGGTGCTAAGATGAGCTGTAAGCATTCCATGTATTGAATTATTGTAGGGTACCAGGGTGTTGTGTAGCTCGGTGCAAAAATCGTAGATAGAAAATGCAATAAGTAATGAACGTTTACTTAAAATCTATCAATCTACATGAACCTCAATACTTCTCCAGTTCAGTGTATCGGTGATCAACAGAGACTTCGCCGAACTAGTCAATTTCTCTGAAAAAAATTTAACTTGGAACCACATTTTTTTTGTCTATTTGTTTCCTTTGGTAAGCCTTTCCGCCTTTCACTTCCAAATCCTCTTTATTAAGGCAAAATTAAGACCTACACACAATCACTCATATGTCTGTATGCGTCTTCCGTATGGTGCACACACAGTCCCCGGTTTCACCCTCTAGCGATAATTCAATCATTACCGACCTGATTCCAATTAAAATTAGCATCTTCACTTGCATAGTTGAGATATAGGTTGCATTCACCCAAGAATAATTGTCAGTGCAAATATGCTACGAAGGCAAAGAAATAGGCACATTTTTTCGATATCTGAAAATGGTGATTAACCCAATTTTCATACAGTGAGTAATTTTAAAATAGGTGTGATGTGAATTTTCTGTAATTAGCTACATTATGAATTTAAATCAACGACTTTTTCCTACTACGTAAATATTGATGCAACTGTTCTACTCGCAAAGCAGGATACAGCTGTTGCCTTCGTTTTGCTGAAGTCAACCGTCAGGAGGGTGCGCTCCGTGCCGACTAAAATGTGTTTTGCCGTGGTAACATAACTATTATGATATCTTGCGGGACTTCGGATATAATTTCTTATTATATTTGCCTTTTGTTACGAGTTATGTAATGAATCACTGTATTTTCTGGTTTTATTAAAATTTTCCCCCTTTCTTGCAGAACTTATTTTGAAATATTTTGAGAGATGCTTTCTACGAATACTTTATACGAGACTGTATAACTTAGCAATTTGAGTAGTTTATGTTAATTATTCGTTTAAACCATATCGTAATTCTCAAATATAAGTTCTATGAATCCAGTGGAGAAAGACTGTCTCCCTAAATAGGAAGCTCAACTATTCGTTTTGCTATTGCGTCAGTAAAGAGACGCTCTATAGGGGTAACTTTTATGGCGATCATAGGCTGTGCATAGCGATCAATGTACTTGTTTTTTCTTGACAGAAGAAGCAGGACTTGTACTCATGGGATAAGATCAATGAGAGGCGCCTGCAGATACGAGATAAATATATGGTGGATACCCTAGAGTTGCTTCGAACATTGGAACAGACGAGCGTCTTCACCTACTTGGAGGCGAAGCAGGTCCGTGAAATCACGGACCTCAGGAAACAATATGATGAGCTCTTCAACGTCCTCACGTCCAAGAATCCAAAAAAATATGTCCCCATTTTCCTCCAGGCACTAGTTGATATGGACAGGGAGGATGTCAGGGATTTCTTGCAAGGTATTTTTATTTATTAATATTAACTTCTTAATTCATTATCTCCCCCAATATCAGGTAGTCATGCATCATTGTGTGAAATATGCTTCAAAATGGTCTAACTCATTTTTTCAGCAGAGTAGATTGGTGCATTTGCCCGTGTGCAAGCTGAGAATTGGTCAGACAGCTCTTCAATTATCCACTCTCGTGGATCGCAACGAATATGGCTCAGTGAATGCTTGCAAGTTATCTTTCCATTCAAATTGACAACCAATTCAATGTATCTGCATGAAAATGAATGCTTTATCAGATTTCTCGATGCCTGATATCATTTACCGTCGTTTGCAAGTTTATACGACAGTTTTCAAATTCAAAAACGCAGGCCGCAAAACTATATAAAAATGTTTATCTACTGCTCGTGAAAGCTCTGAAAAGTTTGGAGAACCCCTTTTTTCAGAATGACATTGTATATTTTTCTCTGATTCATTCAAATACACTAACTTACATGTGCAGCCATTTTACTTGGAAATCCGCTTCGAAATTTGATGGAAATTACTGCAGAAGAGCGTTACGGAAAATTTATGTAAAATCTTGGAAGTGGAGGTTGCTTGCATACAGCTTGGCATCCACTCTTCCTACTATTTGACAGCCATATCCGACTCCCTTGGCCGTCATGCAGTCCGAAAACATAAGGCTGCCTCACCATACTCGGGTATCCATCCACATGCCGCTCTGTGAGGGCTTCGGTGGACCATTTCCACGACCATCACGCAACCAACACAGAAAATAGAGGACTGGAAACGTATTCTTCGGTCAACCGAGACAAAAATCTATCTTACGGGGTGGTAGGGGCGTAATTGGATATGAGACAAGCACGGGGAGGCCCTTACAGGGCTGCATGTGGATGGGAAACCCTAGCACAATGGTGGCAACCTGATGTATTCGGGATACATACCAGTCACGGGAGTCGGTTATGGCTGTTGAAGAGTAGGAAGAATTGACGCAAAGCTGTATATAAGCATTGTCCACGACGATTTGCTCCTGACAATGTAGTATTAACAGCTCGAAGTGGGAGAGGTTGTGTTTCGGCAGGATAATGATAGGAAACATACCTCACGGTTGGACCGCCAATCGTTCCAGGACTACGAAATGGAGGTCCTAGAATGGTCATAACAGTCGCGAGACCTCAACCCAATAGAAAACTTCTGACAACACTTCGAACGGAGGCTGGTAGCGTGCAAAAAACCATGCAGCCTGTATTCATGAGTTTCGTGAGCGGGTTAAGGCAAATTGGGACGCTATTTCAGTTCAGACATGCTTGGACATGATCGATTGAGTCCATCACCCTGCTCCGATAATTCGGAGCAGGGTGATGGACTCAAGAAAGTATGCGAGGTCATATTACTCCATGAGACCACGTCGCCGTTTTCGAGGAAGAATCCAAATCATGATCACTTCTGAAGGGTGCGTGGAGTGAAGGTAGCCTCTTATTAAATCGCGGTAATCGCGTCGGTGTTCTTCTGCTTCTGGGGGAACAGGATGCCTGTTTCTCATCTCGGCATTAGGTTCGCATTGTCTTTGGATGGGGGGATCTTAAAGAAGCGGATTCGGAGGATAGAGATCGTGTCCAGATGCTTCAGTCATGAAACGGCGCATGCGCACGAATAAAACAAATTGTTGGGACCTGTCATATCAACGTTGAATCATCGTGGATTCAATATTTCTTCAACGTTGAAGAAAATGAATTTTCAATATGGAGTGAACGTTGATAAGCAAATGTTGAAGCAACGTTGCAATGTTGGCTTTGAACATTGAATCAATGTTGATATACCGTTGATGTCAATGTTGAATCAATTGTTGATAAAAATGAATTTTCAATGTAGTATCAATGTTGACAGGCAACGTGGTTTCAACGTTAGCTGCGTTGACGCAATGACGTTGAAAGAACGTTGATTCAACGTGAGAGTGCTACTTGGGTAGTATCAGATGAACCCAATGGCGAATTTGATCGAACTATGTAAAACAATTGTAATACAAATAAGGGTGCGATATTTCCCACTGGAATTTTCCTTTATAAGAAATAAATGGACAAAGAATGCTATTTAACAATCAATGAAATATAAATTTAGCAGTTGAAACAGTTTTCATAGAAGGCCAAATTAAAGAGACCAAGGTCACAAACGGCCAACTTTAGAAAATTCATATCGTTTTGATACTTGACCGTAACGGAAGGAAACTCATGCCATGAAGTAGATCTTGGAACGCTCTTTCATCTGACATGATACATATTTTTATCTGGATTCTCACGTCTTAAAAATGAGGTCAAAGTTCGCAAAAATCACAAGAAATGAGATATTGGACTTTAAATTTCGACTCGTTGAAATGAAAATTAAACCCTAGGTGAACTCTTAGCAATGCAATTTTGATTTCATTATGATGCCTTCCACAACATATTATTGGGTGGTGAAACGATATAAAGCAGAACACTTCGAAAAATACATGAAGTTCAGGTTCCATGAAACACTTATTTTCGTGGTAATTAGATATACTATTTCAGACCTTTCATATGAGCAATTACATGATTTCTAGCTGGCGTGGTTTGAGAGTTATGAAACTCGCCCGAGAGGTTAGAAAGGCCTGAAAAACGATATTTTCAAACTAGACCACACCCACGTCCCGCAATATCCGCCTCGCTGGCAATAGCGTATCAACAAACATCAGTAACTCAGACCTAATTTGTAACTAACAGTGAGAGGAAAACATATTAAAGGGATATCGTACGAATTTCGAAGTGCCACATTTTGGAAGAATAATAAGGGATGTCTCACGTCATCAGGGAAGCCACAATTGGATGCATGCAACTTCTCAGGCATACCCGCCTTGTACCATTCACCTGAGGCACAAATAAGAAGTTTCGAAAACTCCGGCATTGGATGAAAGGGATGATTTTGTGCTACGTACAGGATGCGCATAAACTCTATTGGATCTATCTGCCCCGGGATGTTGATGGGTAGCTCGGTTGGCAATCAATTCTCTTGTTTAGTCCAGGCGAATACCCTAACAGAGGGTTCTTTTCTCCATCAGCTTACAGTGGCTGGCGGAAAGAAAACCATATGGTGGAGTGGACTACCTACAGAAAGTTGTAAGATATATATAAAATGAAAATACTCCATGAGTATTTTACGGAGATATATGTTTCGGCCAAAGAGAGTTGTGGTATGAGAATATAAAATTAATTAACCACTATTATGGTTACATTCTGCGTCGACATTCTGGATCAGGGATGTGAAACGCCTCGCCCAGGCCATTGTGCATGCTCCCGTGCATGCTCACTGCGCTCCAGTCACGCTTGCTTACGCCCAAAGGGCGTAAGCAAACTTGACTCGAAACCTTCGTTGTTTTGTGAGACCCTTCATGGCGCTGGCACGGTTAGTAGACCTCAATTTTAGTGGGTTGGAAAGTAAGTCATAAAAGTCAAGTCAAGTAAGTTATAAAATTTTGAAAAATTTGCGCAGAGTGTTGTAAACACTCTGCGCAAATTTTTCAAAATTTTATAATTTTATTGAAATGCAATTTCAGTCTACAGTGTAATGACCATTGTTGTCTATGACATGTTCCCAACGCACGGGCAACTGCTCGATGCCCTTCGCCCAGAACTCTGGCGATTGCGATGCGAAGAAACGGCCGACATCATTTTCGAGCCGTACTCGATCGTCGAAGGCCTTGTCCCGCAGGTGATTCTTGAGGGCCCGGAACGAGTGATAGTCGGAAGGGCCCAAGTCCGGAGAATACGCTGGATGGGGTAAAACCTCCCAGCCCAATTCCGAAATTGTCTGGCGAGTCATCTTCGCAACACGTGGACGAGCGTTGTCATGCAGAAGGAGAACTTTGTCGCGTTTGGGACGCTCTTTTTGAATGACGCCAGCCAACTTCTGAAGTCGAGCAGCGTAGACGACGGCAGTCACGGTGGTACCGGTTGGCAGGAGCTCATAGTACAACATTCCTTCTGAATCCCACCGACAGCAGAGAAGAACCTTCTTCTCGTGGAACCCTGGTTTCGGTTCGTGTGGCGGCAATTCTCCTCGTGGAAGCCACTGACTCTTGCGAGTANTTCGATCGAAGCCATGACAGCCAATTGATGGCAGAAGCCGCCTTATATACCCCGAGGGCAGAAGCTTCGAGAACATTTCAGCATATACAAATGCAAAGCCCCGCCAATCATTCCTTTGAAAATTTTTATAAATAGTTGTAGAAAGTGTTGCAAGACTTTCTTTCCAACCCAATATTTCCTCCAGTTCGGTCAAAGGCCTAAGAGGTAGAAAGTCAACCTGTTTTGGGAAACGATTGGTCAGTAGGCTAGGAAAGGGTCGCGGTCTTTGACCACGATTATTTTCTAATCCAACTGCTTCATCATCTCCCAAATTAGGGTGGCTTTCTCGCTCGTTCTGCCAAACAGAAGGAATGTGGTTCGCTGGAAGTGCCTTCTTCCTGTTTTCTCTAAGGTAAGTGGTAAAAAGCAAAAACGCTAAATCACTACTTTAAAGAGGTTGAGTGAATTGGGTTTTTCTTTGGATCATATGTTATGAGGACTGAAGGTAAGGGAGGCTGCCCGGACTAGAAAAAAAAAATGCATGGCACTACCGAGGACATAAGGTCTCCTCCTTTTTCTGTACGGTGTGGCGCGCTCCCATTACACCACCGCACACATGACATATAGTCGTTTCTCCAATCAACACACATAAGGGTTTCTATTCCAATGAAAACGGGTAGTCTCGCCCTCCCTTCAACGTGAATGTACATTAAAATTAGTACTTCCTTTCTCATCTTTCGCAGATAAAATATGCACCATCGCAACATACTCATCAAGAGCGAACGATTGACATATCGCATGAACCATTCGCCGGGTCGGAAGTCTTTCCCTCATGGATAGTTGTTAATTAGCAATAAGAAAATTGCAATTATCAATCGGATGTAAAGGCCACCGTTGAGATCGAAGAGACTGCTTAGTCCGATCCAAGAGAGAGAACTAAGAAGGTAGCATCAAGGAAATAAAGTAATTAAATTTTTAATTAATTAATCAATTAACACATTTTTGCGCAAGGTTTTTGACCATGACAATCAATATGAGACCCCTCCCACCTTCACACGATTCCTCCTTCATGGTCAGGTGATTCGGTAATTTGCGTATTATATACCAGTGAGTTTGCATGTCCAAAGGGCAAACAAACTCGCTATTGTCGCGCCTTCGGCGCTCCATTCCCTATATAGTGATTAATTCAATTATTTTATTTTCAAAGTGGCCGAAACATATCCGTCCGTTGGAAAGTGTGTCGAGAGAGAGCAAAAACCGATATTTTCATCGGAATAATTACTCTCATAGTTTCTTGTGTGTCTAACTTCAAATCTATTCATAATCTTCCCTGAGGGATCATATTTGAAATGTAGGACATGTACTCAGCAATCGAACAGATACTCTGCTCCAAGTTTCAACTTTCTTTAGTTCTTTCCTTCACTGAATCTGAAAGGTTTCTGAAAAATGCACCTTTTGGGAAAAAAATGCCCTCAACGGTCTTGCATAAAAATAAGCATTTTTTTAATACTGAAATCCGCAATCGGAGAACTACCTGGAAACCAAGTTTTAACCTCATCTGTTGGCTCTTATTGCTGGTGCAAAAATATATTTGGAAAAGCCGATACAGCCAAAAGCTGTGCCCTAGGAGTATGCACCACAAACATGGAAATTTTCTCATGTCACCATCACCTCAGTTATTGCTGCGCAAGTTTCACATTTCTATCTCTGTAGAATTTAGTGGACAAAAATTGTATCTGAAAACGTCACCCCCTAAAGATATGCCCCCAGGAATGTATCCGAAACTTTCTGACATTTTTTCTGAAGTCAGGGTCTCAATAGGTACGTC